TTCAGGAGGCTTGTTCTATGGGTCTATTTTCGAAAAGAAAAGTCATGTACTCTAATTTTGAAAAGAATTTTAAAAGATGAAAAAAATGATATTACTTTCTCTTTTTAGTCTATTTGGGTAATTCTATTCACAACCCCCTTATTACTATTCACAGTCATTAAATTAAATATTAATAATTAGAAATAAAAAAATTAAATATTAATAATTAAAAATAATTATCATACTTAAGTTGCCCTTAACAAGAAACCTACCGTAAACGCTACACTACTACAAACGTACGTAAAGAGAAGAAGAAAGCATTTGGGTGTGGACCAATTTGTCTCGCATCTATCCCATTTAGGGATGGTTCAGTACGGTATACCGAAAATTTTCTTTCATACCATCTGTGGTGCATAATATTATGAATAAAGGTGCAGTTATTCAATATTGGAGTGCAAATCAATAAACTCATATTGATTGCACTATGAGAATATTGCATATAAAAATAAACGAATTTGACATAAATAATGATGCACATTTTAAATATATTTTTCCCAATTGACTATTCAAATTATATGAGTGAGAATTTAAAAAATGGAAAGAGAATTAAATAATAATAAAACATTTATGAGAACAAATCTTACTTATTGTGTGGGTATTACTCCAGAACTCGCGCCTTCCTATGACAATACTTATAATCCCGGGTGGAGTGATCATCCAAATCTTAGATATCGTAATCCTCAAGGGAATCCACAAAAGACAACCTCCCACAAAATAAATCCTTCCTTCAAAATAAACAACCATATTCCAAACCCTAGGCCAAAGCTCAGATTTGTCCACCGAAGACATGATCCGAGCACTCACCTCAAATGTCTCTACTATGCAACAAAACATGGTACAATTTCAACATGACACCAAATCTAGCATACAAAACCTTGAGAGTCAAATGAGCCCAATCTCAAGTGCGGTGAGTAGGCTTGAGGCCAAGGATTCGGGAAAGCTTCCATCTCAAATGGAATTGAATCCTAGGCAACAAGCCCATGCGGTGACATTGAGAAGTGGCAAGGAATTGGTGATTGCCAAGGAAAAAGCAAAGAGCCACATTGATGAAGAAGAGGAGGAAGAGGAGCTTACGGAGAAAGCTCAACCGAATGAGGAGGAGGACTCTCAAATCAACACTCCTCCACTGGTCATTCAAGAGACCATTCCACCATTTCATGAGGCTCTAAGGAAAACAAGAAGGGTGGACAAAGACAAAGACATCTACATACATTCAACAAATGTGAGGTAAACTTTCCTCTCCTTAATTTAATCAAAAGTGTTCCTAGGGTTGCAATTTTTTTGAAAGAACTGTGCACAATCAAGAGGAAACATTGATTAAATGGAAAACAAAAAGTACAAGTTAGTGAACATGTTTCGGCGATTTTTCAAAAGAAACTTCCAAAGAAATACAATGACCTGGGCATGTTCACCATACCTTGTAAGTTGGGAGCCACCACTTTTCTAAGGCCATGCTACATCTAGGAGCGTCAATTAATGTCATTCCTTATTCTTTATATAAATCACTAGAGCTTGACCCTCTAAATGAAACCGGGTGGTAATCCAACTTGCGGATAGATCAAACACTTACCCTAAGGGTATTGTAGAAGACATACTAGTTATGGTTGATAATTTGATCTTTCCCGCCAACTTTTATGTTTTGTAAATGGATATCGATAAGAACGTGGTATATATCCTTTTAGGAAGGCCATTTTTAAAGACCGCTAGAGCAAAAATTGATGTCTTTAGTGGGTCTTTAATAATGTAATTTGATGGAGATAAAGTTGAATTCAACATTTATGATTCCATGAAATACCCGAGTGAAGATCATTCTGTATTTGTCATCGATATTCTTGATCCTCTTGTACAAAATGCTTTTGAAATTAATGGAAAGGATGAATTGTTGAGTGTTATTGAGAATAATGTGGGGGAAGATATTTTGGAATTTGCTTTGACCCCTAACCTATAAGTAATGATGGTGGAATTGGATAATCACTTCCAACTTCCACTTATGCCACCGGAGTCAAGGGCATTTCCACTAACCCTCCCCGAGGAGAAATCTTTGTCTTCAGTTTTGCAGGCACCTGAGGTAGAATTGAAGCCACTCCAGGAGGACTTGAAATATGTGTTCTTGGGAGAGAAAGAAACCTTATTGGCCATCATTTCAAACAAGTTGACCTGGGAACAAGAAGAAAGGTTGATAGCAGTGCTCAAGGAGTACAAATTGACAATCTGATAGACTATAGCCGACATCAAATGCATTACTCCATCCAATTGCATGCAGCGCATCTTGATGAAAGATGAAGCTGAGCCGGTTAGATAACCGCAAAGAAGACTAAACCCACCGATGATGGAGGTGGTCAAGAAAGAAGTCATCAAGTTACTTCAAATGGAGATTATCTTCCCCATTTTCGATAGCAAATGGGTTAGCCCGACCTAAGTTATTCCCAAGAAGACCGGAGTCATGGTGGACTTGGTGGTGAAGAACAAACACGGAGAACTCATCCCCACACGAATTCAAAATGGATGGAGGGTATGCATAGATTACCGTAGACTCAACGCGGTAACTAGAAAAGATTTCTTTCTTTTACCCTTCATTTATCAAATGCTTGAGAAATTTGCCGGGCATAAGTTCTATTGTTTCCTTGATGGCTACTCCGGGTATTTCTAAGTGCACATAGCCCCTGAAGATCAAATGAAGACAACCTTCACTTGTCCGTTTGGTACCTTTGCATAGCGACGCATGCCATTCAGACTATGCAAATGCCCTTACCACCTTCCAAAGATGAATGATGAGCATATTCTTTGAATATGTTGAGCTATTTATGGAAGTTTTCATGGATGATTTCACAATCCATGGGGACTCATTTGATTCTTGCTTATATCATCTATCACTTGCTCTAAAAAGTTGCTTGGAATCAAACCTTGTCTTGAACTCCGAGAAATGTCACTTTATGGTGGAGGAAGAAATTGTTCTAGGCCATGTGATCTCATCCAAGGGAATCGAGGTGGACAGGGCAAAAGTTGATGTCATCCGGTCACTCTCTTATCCTACTACCGTTAGGGAGATACGGTCATTTCTTGGACATGCCAGTTTCTATCGGAGATTTGTCAAAGACTACTCAAAGATTGCATCTCCATTGTGCACACTTTTGCACACTTAGAGATCGACACTCTCAGCCTTCTTTTGGCATTACAATTTACAATGACGGCAATGATGAAAACCGGTGAAGAGACCGGTGATGATGAGATTTGCAACTGGTCTGATCCCCTCGTCGGAGGCAGCAGTTTTCCCATTCCGTTTAGGTTACAAGTTTGTTATGATTGTCATCAATACGTAGTACTTCATTACTTCAATGTACGTAACAAATGCATGGTTTTTTTTGCACTGCATATGATTTTTGCTATCATGTACTGTATATTTCTTTTTTAGAAAGGATAAATAACCGGGGAAAGAGAGTTGAAGAACAAGGAATTCGAGCTTAGGAAAAGGGACACAACTATTCTCAATCTGGAGTGGCAACTTGAGGCAGCAATCTAAAAAGGGACTTCCAACCAAAGATTGAGGAGATATCCATACAAGCAGACCTTAATAATAATGAAGTTTTCCAATTTCATTCTATTAGACCAAAGAGAAAGATGGTTGAGGTCTTCGACGCCGAATGGAACGGGAAAAATGCCACATCTAGAGAAGGGATCAGACCAGTCGCAAATCTCATCCCCGTTGGTCTCTTCGCTGGTGTTCATCGTTGTTGTCATTTCCGGTGAGGGGATCAGACCAAGACTGAGAGCGTCGTTCTCTAAAAGTATTAGTACCACTAGATTCTTGCTGAGTCACCGGAGGCGGATTGTGGAGGATCTACATGGCTTCTTCTTGTTCACGAAGAAGACCGCATACGAATAATAACGGTTATTGCAGTTGGGCCGCCAATCTTTTTAGAAGCCATAGCTAAATTGTAAGGGATATAATAGACATTCTATTTCTATTTAAGTAATTAATAATTAATTTTGAATAGGTCCTATGAATAGCAATTGTGTGTCTGCATTTAGAATCACTCGATTTAAGGCTGAAAAATAAATCTACTCAAACTAAATAGGGTAACTAGTGTAACACCCGGGACATGCCCCAGTACTGTCATGTTGACATGAATTAAAATGGTAAATGTCAATAGAGGTTGTAAATTAATTAAATAATTTTTCATAACATCTTTTATGTTGAAAAGACATGTTTACAGATACTTTTTGAGAAATTAAAAACATGAACTTAAAAAAATTATGTGTATATCTTTTGTTGTTGTTCATGTTATTACTATTATTATTAGTAGTACTATTTTTAAGACGCTAATCGCTAACCTTAATTAACAAATTAAATATAAATTTTTATAATATTGACAAAAAAAATCTCAAAAATGTGTTTTACGTCCAATAAAAAATGTGTTTTAGAATTTAGAGAGATAACCCCATTTTTGTTTTGATTTTAGGAAACAGTTTACCTATATTCCCTCCCTCTTTAGCAATGAAAACTTCTAATCACTTTATATTTAAATATTTATGATATCCAGAGTGAATTAAACCTTATTTAGTTTGATTTCATTACTATTCTAGTCAATAGTCATATTTTTGTAAATCCTTTTTATTTTAGTCATATTTATGTAATTATTTCTATTTTTAGTTTCACGATTTTATGTGAAAGTGATTTTGCATCACATGAAATTCCAAATCGTATAAAATACTCCGTATTAGACTAAAGCAATTATATTCCATCTTTTAGCTGGTCAATTATTTCTCAGATTAATTAGATGGATCCTTCATGCATTCAACCTATTTTTATTTAACAGTTTTAATAATGATCAAAACCATTGTGCATTTTTTAAAATTTAGACTGATTTTTAATTCTTTTGTACAATGATTTACATTATATTTTGAAACAATATTACATTCGAAGTTATGTATTAAAAAATCAAAGGAAAGTAATAACGGTAGGAATTTCAAAACAATCGTGGACACTTGGTGTTTTTTTGAAAGGAAATTAATTATATTATAGCGATCAATGATAACAACAACCCCACAATCAAGAAACGTCAAAACTTCTTACCTTCCTATGAGGCTCCGCATAGCCAAACGGTTCTCTCACTCTCTGACTAGACACGGAATAGATCACCCTAAAAAGAGCGAGACTATTCGCTAACCATGTGAGGGCTTCGAAGCTTTTACCGGCCATACAAGCCTTATCACTTCCACCCACAAACCAATAATAAAAAAATAACCAAAGGACCTACGGCTAATGTCCACAAAGCAAGAATTATTCCGTACGTCCTGGATAATGAAATAACAAACGAAACAAGCAAAAGTACTAATAAAAAGAAGCCTCCAAACCCTTGTCGTTCATTCCTTCTCTGACGACGGTTCTGGAGGGGATGAACCAATAACGTTTCGACCTCTGCCTTCGAGTCCAACCGATCATATCCCGCGGACAGTCCTCCAAATCTTGATCATGTTCCTTCGTCTCCATCCTTCCATAAACTTGAGTCAAAACCTTCATCGCCTTCCTTTGGTTGCCTTTCATCACCACGCCTTGCGTGTTGTTGCCGAATGAGGAATCAATTCGGCCGAAGCCCTTAGCCAACCTGCTTTGCCACTTTGCTCGACGAGAGAAGCAGCACTGCAAACCTGCGGACGAAGCGCCGCCCCTAACCCTAGGCATAGAGCCTACCCTTCCGCTTCACACGTTGGATCTCTGTCGCTGCGATCGCCCAAAAACGCCGAAACCTTCGTTTCCTTCTCGATTTTGGGAAAATTACCTTCAATCGGATCTGCCAAACTGACAAGCAATTAGCGTGCCTCCAGGCCTGCCTACCACGCTCGTAACCTCTCCTCTGCCTTCAATAACCAAAACTGAGACGCAATCCACTGCCCAAAGAGGCGGCGGTGATCTCCCAAAAAAACCTAGACAGATGTTAGGGCCTGCCGCATGATGAATAGGAAATGCTTTTCCTCTAATGCATAATGTTAAGTTGTTAACTCGTGGACACTTAGTGTTGATAAATTAAACAACTTAAAATTAAACAATTGTAGGAATTTCTTATTCAAAATCTTGATCGTGCAGTGCATTATCAAATTATTATATTGTTGTAATTAGTGATAATTTAGATCCTAAATTATTTGGATATTGAATGTGAAGTTTTATCTTATATTTTTGTCTAATAAGATAGATTTCAAAAGTAAATTTGCAATTTCAAACGCATACCCAAATCCTACCGGGGTCCTTGAAGTTAAATAAAACAAACTCATGCAAACAATGTTCAGGTATTTTAAAATTGCTACAATTTAAACATACTTTTTCATTAGTTAAAAGTATCTTGTAAAAAATAAGTTGATTCATATTGGACTGATGAACATTATCCCAATGAATGACCAGCCTTGCACGTAAAGACTAAGTCTATTTTTTGTGTGAGACCTTGTTGATGCAATCATATTGCATCATGAAAGATGGATGAATCACCATTTTTAAAAAGTGTTGATATTATTGTGATGTTGTATGTTGTCTATTGTTTTAATTGTAGCCGTATTTATATTACTTGGACTGTAATTTACTGATCTGATTTGGTCTGGTCTAGTCTGTTTAAGTCTGATCTGGTGTCGTCTGGTAAACGTCTGGTCTCTGTGTATTTTATAACTACGGAAGTCAAGTCTAGTCTAGTCTGTTTAAGTCTGGTCTGATCTTTTAACTTTGATATGGTCTGATCTGTTTAAGTCTGGTCTGGTCTTAGTTAGAAACATGTCCAAGAAAAAACATCCCAAATGATGGAGGACAAAGTATAGGCATAGAGTCGTATTGGAATTGGGATTGTGTGTAAACATTAATTTCATTAATGTCGAATCAATTAATTATTGTTTGTCTTGATTTAATTATTAATTTTCACTACGATTTAGGATGTTTTTACTTGAACTGTTTTCAGTCCCAGACCAGATCAAATTTGGACAGTTAGAAAATACACAGGAAATGGACTTTATCAGACCAGACCATACCAAGCCTGTTTTTAAGGATGTTTTTACTTGGACTGAAATTTTCTGGTCTGGTCTGGTAAGTCTGTTTCCTGTGTATTTTATAATTGTCTAAGTTTGATCTGGTCTGGTCTATCAGAGTAAAAACAACCTAAATTGTAGTGCTATTACTATGTAGAATAATTTTTTGACAAGTACTACTCTATATGAGTATGGTGTATGAGTGTATCCGAGTTATTGAGGAAATTGAGTTTTTGCAAAATAATTCACCTCTTTAATAATTGTCTCTGGCAATATGCATGTATTATAAGAATATGTTGTAGCACACCCAAGATACAAAAGTGTTAATCAAGGCATTTGTATTTTTGTAGTTTAAGGATTAGGATCTTTCTCGATCTCATGAGCAAGTTCTTTTGTTAACATGTCAGCACGGTCATCTAATCCCCCGCAAAAGGTGTAAATTCTGTATGCGAATTGGAAAGCCTTCCATAGCATTTTACCAGGTGTTCCATTTTTCTGCCTATTGTTTGATACCTCATCACATTTTTTCTCCCTTGCGTTTGAATCTCTCCACTCCTGAAATAATAAAAAAGTAATGTCTAATTTTGTGTTCTCTTTTTTTATAACAAATTATGAATACTTTATTAGTATAATATGCTTATAGCTTGGTATATAAGTTGTTTTGATGAACTAACCTTTAGTGCCAACTCCATACAGTTTGAGGACACGTCTACCATAAACTCTTTGATACGTACAAGGATTGAAAAATCAAAGTTTATCTTGTGACTTGCATATTTCTTCTCTTCTTCGTCCTTATATTGCTCTATCCTCTCAAGATCTCCTTTGATCTAGCCCAAAAAATAGAAAACTTGAGATAGATGAATAGATCATAGTCATAATAACCTTAATTGAAACAATAATAATGGATGGGCTCACATAAATGAATTTATTGGGGAAATTGCAGAAATGACCTTATTACATTTTTGGGAAAACTAACAATTTGGTCTTCGTACTATCATGAAAAAGCCAATTAGGTCCTCTTACTTTTAAAAGAATCAATCAAATCCTTGAACTTTATAAAAACGTTCAATTGAGTCCTTTTGCGGATTACTTGTCATGTCAGCAGGTCACCCGCTGACGTGGCCTACATGTGGCAGCCCAATCAGCAGTGACTTTGCTGACATGGCACACATGTGGAAGCCCAATTAGTCATTTGCTGATGACGTGGCACAAATGTGGATCACCACGTGTGCGCCACATCAGTGGGTGACCTGCTCACATTGCAAGTAACATGCAAACAGACTCAATGAACATTCTCACAAAGTTCGGGGATTTGATTGATTTTTTTTAAAGTACGAGTACGTATTTGACTTTTTCGTTATAGTATGAGGACAAAATTGACGGTTTCCGCTACATTTTGGCTATAGGCAAGTCCCATTGAAAAAAATAATTGTGGAAAGAAGTACTTGAGTGATATCCGCTTAAGGTATAGACAAATAGAGGATATTTATTTATATTTTTTGCATGAGTTGATCTTACTTTGTTGATGTAGCTCTCAGATTTCTCAAGAAGCTGGCTCACTGGTGATTCCTTTGGCCATTTTTGTAAGGTACAAGCTATAGCATCTAACTTGGAATAGAGTGTTGCTGCCATTCTCAATACCTCCAACTTCTTTGTTGGAAAATCCTCAAATCTTGCTAGCACCTAGGTATCAAGAAGAATTAAACCCAACAAGTCTTCAAGGTTTTGAAATTGTGTGGGAAATTGAAATTGTTTATGACTGGACCTGAGATTCATCTGTTAGTTTTTCAAGGTGCGATTCAACGTGTTTATGAAACTTGATTAGTTCAGACATGTCTGATGTTTGGAAATTTGTTATTGCTGTTGTCATCTCCTTAATTTCAGTTGCATGCCTTTTAACATCCTCTTCAATTTGTTGGAAATAGGTTGACCTAAACCAATGTAAAAAAAACTTATGAAGAAGAGTGATGTAATTGGATACTAGAAATGAGCTGAGGCAACTTGACGAAGGATTATTAAAGGGCATTTTGAGTTTTACCTTTTTGTCATCTCTGCTAGCGCATCGGCCATTCCCTGTTTACCTCCGGAAGAAGAATTTATTTTTCCCTTTCTCCCCAATTTACTTTCCAAATTTGACCCCTCCACTTTTACCTTGAGAAATCGATAAAGGTTACCCATTTGTGAGGAACGCTTCAACTTAGAACCTTTCTTGGTGCGAGGATTCTTAGTACCAATCGAGGGAGGAGGAGGTGGACCTAAAACTTCTTTTCCCATGGGCATTGGGGGAGGTGGTACTGACATTGTACCATTTGAAGTCCTTATCGAATGAGATTGTTGTATTGTGTCTCTTACGTTGGGATATGGAAGAGGGGGAGGAGGGGGAGGAAGTGAAACAAATACCAAATTATACGATATCATGGATGGTGGTGGAGGAGGATGGGGAGGAAGGTTTCTTGTCGTTTCCGTTAGAGGTGAAGATGATGCCATGTTTTTTGGTCTAATGGGAAGTGGCAGTGGTGTAGGTGGACTTGCTATATATGTCGATTTTAATGGAGAAGGTGAAGGGGGAGAAGGATCCACATCATTGTCTATTATACCTAGACATGGTTGGGAAGGGTATGGCGAGGGAGGTAAAGGGGGAGGAGGAGGAGACAAAATAACATTATGCCTCTGTTTTATAATTGATGTGTGAGTTGGGTGTGGTAGTGGGGGTGGGGGTGGGGGTGGAGGGAGAGTTTGAGGAATCGAAATATGCTTTCTTATTATCGGAGGAAGAAGCGGTGGCGGTGGTGGTGGAGGTGATTGAGTTGGCTTAAGATTCGATGTAGACATTGATGTTTGTGGTTTTACTCCATCGAATGATATGGTAAATGTCAAGTCTTCTTTTTGCGCATTTGGTCTAAGCTTTGTGAGTGAAGGTGTTTGTATAATCATATCCATAGTGATACATGTAGGAATCAATTGAACAATAGAACCGTCAATTTGATTTCTCTTAAAACTATCATCTCTACCATCTTCTGAATTCGCAATTACATCCTTAGATGAGTATAACATATCATTGTGGTCATTTTTTACTTGGAAGTCTTCTTCCTTTGATGTTTTTGATGTATTTGCTATATGAACCATATACTTGGAATCTTGAACCACTATATGTGGAGACATATTGAATGTGAGGTGTTGATTATCAGTGGGGTTAAGTCTCCCAACTCGTTTATGTCCAAGTGACGAGTGAATTGGTGTAATATTGCACATCTCAGGAAGGACAGAAGTTGGGGTCACTGGAGAACAAGGCTCAGACAAAAGCCTACTAAAAGAATTTGGACTATCAACCATCTCCTCTTCTTCGGCAAATATCCGTTCACAGGTAAGCTTGATCATGTCTTCAAGCATTGCAAGTGCTACAAGAAATTCAAAAAAACTTTCCTTTTACTAAAAAAACGAATATCTTGTAGTATGATGAAATCCCTGTTATCTGATGTTTTGACCGGAAAGTCACTGGTCTGAATCTCATCATGCTCAAGATTGACAATTTTGTTTGAAAAATAATATAAATATGTTAGTACATTAAAAACATCATACCATAGTGTTCCAAATTGGTGGTCTCAAGGTTGAACATATCATCATTGCATTTGATCATCCATTCATCATTTCTTGCCCATTTATTAGCAATTGATTTCATAGCATTGCAGAAGGACTTAAGTACCTATAACCACCAAAGTCATTTAGAAAAATTCATACTAATTTTTTCTTAGAGCATGTTTAGGATAACTTATACGTGGTTTAATTTTATCATAAGTGCCTTTTCACTTAAGCACTTTTTGAAGCGTTTTTATTTAATTCTATTATATTGTACGGAGTATGTATTTGGAGTGTTTGTTACTTTTAAAAGCATCGTTTTCATGTCAAAGTCAAACACATATTTTTGAAGTAAACGTTCTTTTCATCCACTAAAAAGAACTAATTCTTTTTTTTGTGGCAATTCTTTCTAACTTATTATAGTATTTGATCTACGTTAAGGCCAACATTTTTGAACTCGAATGGGATTAGAACATGTGACCTCCTTGGGAGT